CTCCAGATGCTGGAGGACTACAAGGCCCATCAGCCTTACCCAGCATCGCTAACGGCAAAAGACATCTATTCCCCCCCCACACACAAAATTTCCCTTGTTTCTGGAAGGAACCCCATTATAAACCTTGATAAACCAAGTTCTCTGGTGGAACGTCACCTCTGGACCTTCTCTTCTCTCCCTCTCTCTCTCTTTCCCTCTTGGCCTAGCTAAAATTAAAGGTTTCTGAACAGAAGCGTTTGGCACAGGAGTGAGCATCTTCTTCAAAGGATGATGTCTGCCAGCTCCCCGCCCCCAATAATTTATTTATTTGATTTACATCCCACCCATCTGGTCTGGTCGACCACTCTGAAGGTTTTTCCATCGGTGGATATAGCCACAAGGCAGTGGAGGTTTTGGAATCAGAGTTTTCCTTCTCCCAAATGGGCTGCCTTCCAAGGCTGGTGAGCCCCACCTACCCGGCCTGCTCTCTAATAGTGCGGAAGTATGAAACTTTCCTGCCTCCCAGGTGTATGCAATGCTAATTGGCTTTCCTATTTACCATATTAGGTTCAGAGTTAGAGTCAGAGAATTGAGGATTTCGCGTGCCTCCTAGGAAAAAGGGCCCAGGTCCTGGCATACCTCATTTAAGGATGGAAAGCCTCACCTCCTAGGCCATGTGGTGGTGGTGGTGGTGGAAACAAAAGAAATCCCAGCAGAAACAAACTCCTCAGCAAAATGTCCATGCAGGCAAACGTGGTCTTCAGCCTCAGCTCAGCCTCCTAGGGAGGGAAAAGGGACCAGATCCTGGCACACCCTCATTAGAAGGTTCTCATTAACCATCTCTGCTCAGAGGGTGACCGTGGGCTTTAGAACAGTGGTCCCCAACCTTTTTCGAACTCCGAACCAGTTCAGCGGGCGGGCGGGGTGTCTGTATGTGGGTGGGGCATCCATGCATGTCTGTGGGGGGGCTGTGCATGCATCGGTGTGTGTATGTGGGAGGGACGTATGTGGGTATGTGGGGGGGCAGCAGGAGATCTGCCTCCACAGGACACCACCCTCTGTTTCAGGGGTGGGGAGTGTGTGCCTCTTCCAGTGTTCTTGATGTCGCTGGATTTTTGAATTTAAGAATATTTTAAATGAATAAATGGAAAGAAACGAACAGAACTATGTGTTGCATTGCAAGCATCCATTTGCTGGGGATTTATACAAAAGCATGAATGATACTGGCCATTTCCCCCTCAATACCTACCTTTGTGGGGGGGGAGTCATGCCAGGGGCCCAGATTCAAGGTGACCCACCTCTCAAAAGCAATCTTCTCACTGGACTTTTGTGCCTGTAAATGGGCTGCCCTGACAGCTCTTGCTAGACTGCATGCTAAAGGTAAAGGTTCCCCTTGACAATTTTTGTCCAGTTGTGTTTGACTCATCCCCATTTCCAAGTCACAGAGTCAGCGTTTGTCCACAGACAATCTTCCATGGTCACGTGGCCAGCACGACTAGACACGGAACGCCGTGACCGTCCCACCGTGGTGCTACCTATTTATCTGCTCGCATTTGCATGCTTTCGAACTGCTAGGTCGGTGGGAGATGGGACAAGCGACGGGAGCTCACTCCATCATGTGCTACAGACCTTACAGCACAGAGGCAGGTTTAACCCGCCGCGCCACCACGTCCCAGAAGACTACATGCTAATCTGTACCAAACACTCTCTAAATGCAGAAAAATGGAAATTCAGGAGGGTATGAGATAGACAATTTTTTTCTGACACACACTTTCCCCCTCCAAGGTGTGGGTATGCTTTTTAATAGTCATTTGCAAGGACTCCACAAACATACACCAAGGTCACCTTCGAAAGTTAGACTAAGAATGGGACAGGGTTGCCCACACCAGGGAAGTTCTGATGCTTCTGGGGAGTTTTTGCTGCGCTCTACAAGACTTCTTCTAGATGAAGAACTGATGCTTTTGAATTGTGGTGCTGGAGGAGGCTCTTGAGAGTCCCCTGGACTGCAAGGAGAACAAACCTATCCATTCTGAAGGAAATCAACCCTGAGTGCTCACTGGAAGGACAGATCCTGAAGCTGAGGCTCCAATCCTTTGACCATCTCATGAGAAGACTCCCTGGAAAAGACAGTGATGTTGGGAAAGTGTGAAGGCAGGAGGAGAAGGGGACGAGAGAGGAGGAGATGGTTGGATAGTGTCATCGAAGCTGCCAACATGACTTTGACCCAACTCTGGGAGGCAGTGGAAGACAGGAGGGCCTGGCGTGCTCTGGTCCATGGGGTCACAGACTACAAGACTCATGCATGCGGTGGCCTCTGGTCACCAATATGGCGGCTAGGGAAAGATCAAGGGTGCCGACAGGAGTGGGGAAGGGGTCCCCATGTTTTGTTGAGTGTGTGAGTGATGGGAAATGACTTCAGTTGTGAGGGAGGAGGCCCTTTCCACTGCAAGGTGGATTTAGACAATTGCTCTTGTTTAAAGCCCATCATGAGAACAAATTAGAACAGCATGTAACCAGTTCTTCTACGTTTTATTCCAGAAAGGGGAAAAGGTTTCTTCATTATTTACTTTTATTTACATACACATACTTCACATTGGTGTTTCAAAATGCAAGTCTTCACCACCTCGTTCCTGTTTTTAAATTAGCGGTTATTTTTTTTTATACAATACAAAAAATACCAAAAAACCTGCAGCCCTAAAACGTGTATTTTTATACCACCCCCCCAGCAATGAAATACTTTACAATACTTACTTGTTATTTACATGTGAATGCAATAAACGCTAAATTATACAAATTAACAACAACAACAAAAACTAAGTTCCAAAATACAGAAGAATTTTTAAAAAAAGAAAAATTGTAGGGAACAGGTAGGAAAAGAACAGAATTCAAAGGAGAAAAGTAATTCAAGAGCTCCAGAGAAAATGTTTTTGTGCACAAATTTTAGAGTAACAGAAATAGATGGGGTTCTTCCTCTCTTTTTAAAGGACCTACATTATTTTACACATCAGGGCAAATTTCACTTAATTTCCCTACCCTGGTTTGAGTGCTGGTTGAGATTTCTTAAGTGAACGAACCAAAAGTTAAAGAATGTTTAGGCTGGAAGACACACAAAAAAAGGGGAAATTATTCTAAGAAAGCCAATTTCTTTCAGGAAGTTTCCCAAGGCCCAGAGCAGGGGAGGTGGGGGATCTATTTAATCATGATTTTATTTTCATCCGTCAGGAAAGGTCATAATCAAAGTGAAGAATCTACAGGGCCACCTTTCCCAAGCTGCCATCCACAAGTTATGTTGGTCTTCTCCAGCAAGACGGGACGATAAGGAACTGAAAACGTGGAATGAAAATTACTGTTTGTCCCAATCATCTGTTTCAATGCCACTTATTCGAAACGGGGGAAAGTGGGTGGAAGAAGAAAGGCTGCGGTGTTGGCCGTTCATAATGGATGGGACACCTTGAGATGCCATGTTTTCTCTGAAGATCTCAGGTGGGATGCCTCCATGCTCTGCCTTTGTCGGGCCTCCCGGAGGCCACGGCTCAAACCAGGCTGCTGAACTGGATGGATCCTGTGGGCTCCGCTAGCTGACAGATTCTGGGTATCGTAGTCCGAAAGAGTAACGTTTCCAGTCTCTTAATGGCTCATTGGTCTGATCCAGCAGGGCTTTTTCTAAGCTCTCCCTCAGTGCAAGGAGCCGATGACAAACCCGCGAAAGGACAAGATCCCCTTCAATCCACATTCACAGGTGAGATGTCTTTTAGGGCATCAATGGGGCAGTAGTTTTATTGACCAATGTATTGGAACCAGCTACCTCTTCTACCCATTCCTCCCATAAATGGTGGACACCATATTTTCCTACAAAACCTCTAGAAGAGTTGTCTTGGGGGACACCTCTTTGCTTTGCTTTCCAAATGGCACCCTTCCCTGTTCATTCGGGCTCTGGACTCTAGTGTTCCAAATTCGGGTTCTCCACTTGACCCAGCCACCTGCCATGCTGTGCGCATGAGCGCCCCACAGCCCTCCCTACAAAGCCAACAAGAAGGGGGCTGCTCACAAGAAGGTTCACCGCAAGGTTTGGCTTACAGCCATTATGTGGAAAGAAATCAGTTTCACACAACTCTCCTGTTTATGGGTCACCTAGGGTGATTTTTATACAGGGGGGAGGGTGGGGCATATCAGGTGAGCGTTTGGGTTATTTTTTTCCCAACTGCACAACATGGTGTGAAGAGGAAGACAGATGGAATTAGTGAACAGACTCCCCTGTTTTGAAAATGACACTAATGCATCACTTCGGTCTTCAAAGGTATCACATATGTTATCTCGGTAATCCTCATGGTCACTCGTACAGGGTTGTCAAAAGTATCTCAAAGATTGCAGGTGTGGGGCTACGGTTAAGCCGTGGGGCCACACATGGATGACTTGGTGGTAACGTTTGGATTCTATGTCTGGTTCGCAGCTCCATCTCTTTGCGAGGAACCTACCAGAGTAGCAACAGCTTCATTTTCTTGGCTTCTTTATCAAGCCTTCAGTTCGTCAAAGCTCGGTTCTGATCGGAATTTTAAAAGTATATTACTGGAAGTGAAATGAATACATTCTCCCATACCAACAGGCTCTGCAGGGGGTGAGGGGAAAAGAGTTTTTGTTTTGTTTTTTTAATACAGTGTGCATGGTAACTAGGAGGAAGCAGGCACCTGGCAAGAGGTGTTTTCACAGGCTGTCATTTTAGAGAGTATTTGCAATTCGCCACTGTCAGGGACATTATTCACGGAGAGGAATCAGGAGAGGGCGAAAAGGCATCACAGGCACCAGGCAGACAGAGGAAGTTGGCACTTCGGCGTCGGTGACATTTCTGACCTGACAATCTGTAAAGGGGGGTGGCGAACGGACAGACACATGCCAGAGGCACCACCAGAGAGGTCTCCCCTCCTTGGTGTATACAAAGTTCTGGCCAGCATTGGCCTGTAAAGAAAAGGGCAATCAAGCGGGGGGCATTTCAGAATGGAAACAGGTTGTGTTGTTTTTTTAAAAAAACCTCCAAAAGAGAGGGCCCAACCAGCGGCATCCAGAATCTCAAACCCTGAAAAGCTCAGAACCCCAAACCTGCTTGACAAATGTATCTCCAGCTCCTGTGGGAAAACCCTCTCCGACAAGCAGAAATGCTGACATTTGCCACTCAATCAGAGGGATCAGCTGAGCGCCTTGTTCTTCGGAAAGGATGCTCCCCGGCGGAGATCCGGCGGGCTTCGAGGTGGCTCCCCTGTGCAGGCAACCTCTGCAGAAGGCTGCTGCCCTACAAATATTCAGGCAAACCATTCAAGGGTGGGGGGAGCTGCTTCTGCGCTCTACATCCCAGATTATTATCTGCTTAAACAGGCTGACAGCTTAAAAGCTCGGCAGCATCAGGATATGCATAAGTCATTAAAGACGAAAGTCATGTGTAAAAGCATCCAGAAGTACATTATACACTCCCCCCTCCCATTTATAGACACAATAAAGTTCCTGACATCCTGCACACTGTTCAGTCTTATGTACAAAGGCGGTGTTATCTTTCTCTTTTCACCTCCTCTCTTGACAGAGACGTTGGTAAAGAGAAGACGCAGGGGGTGCGTGTTGATTTCACTTTTTACCCCTCCAAGAACCATTATCAAGCTATCATTCACGGGCTTTGTCAGCAGGCTGGCTCAGCAGCAGGAATTGGCCGGCCCAGCCAAGCCTCCCTCCTAACCACCCAATTGACAAGTGACCTTTGGAAGTTGGGGATGAAATGATTCGGATGGGAAGACACATAGGCAGAGGCTCCGTTGGCTGGGGAGCAGCTCCAAAGTTCACCAGATCCAACTCTGGCAACGTCGGATTCATCTTGTCTGACTTTTGGTTCTACCCAAGTTGGACGTGGTGGGCTTAGGGAGGGAGAATAGAAGGAAAACATAGATCTAACCCTCCCCAGGGCAGCCACCTACTCTGGCCTCCGTCTGCCAATGAAAGAGAGATGAGGGTGGTAGAAGGGGCCATTGAAATGGAGCGAGCAAACGAGAACACCACGGGCGTCGGCGCTCGCGGACCAGCCAGCAGTCCAAGAGGCAAGCGCTATGTCCCATCACAGGCATCTGAAAGAAGTCTAAGCTCTCTGTTAGGATCCAATAAGTAAAAAAACAAGAGGCAATCATCATAACACAAGGATGGGCATTTCCTGCAAAATCCCTTTACATGGTCAATGTGGTACAGAAAGGCAACAAGGGGGAAGATCTTTTCCAAGGAAGGTGAGGTAAAGTTGTGCATGCCTTAACCCCCAAGCCCATCCTCTCCCTCCCACCCGGACCCGCGCTATCTAAGAACAATTTGGCTGACCTCCAGTTTTAAGGAAACAAATCAGGAGCAGGGAGGGGGGTTAGGAGAGATGCTATTTTAATCATACTTTTCCTGCTCCAGTTTGGTCCAGGTTCATTCACCAATATGCACAATGGCAGGATTTCTCTCTAGGCAGCTTCAGTCCCTCATTATTTTGTCTGTTAGGAGACGCAAATGACAATTCCAGTTGTCCAAAACTCCCCCCGCCAGGGAAAAAAAAAACTGATCTAAATCCCTGTCTGACATTCTCTGCTCCCCCAAGTCCTTGATAAAAAAAAACAAAAACAACTAGACTATGTTACTGCATGCAGGAAGGGAAGGGTGGAGGAAGATGTAGGAACCACCACCAGGAAAACCACACCTTGCCCTTCCCAAGGCAGGATGCGACCCACGGCACAGCCCACCTTACCCCTGTCCTGCTCCAAGCCACAGGTGCTGCCTGTGGGGGAAAGTCTTGCAACTCAGTGATACATGACAGCACAACTGGCCTGATAGAAACGAGCGGGTGGGTGGAAACTCAATGCCAAATTGTCCCGTGTGCTCAGAGACCGCAGATGTCCTGAACCGCCACCGCTCTGAGGCTGCCGGGCCACAGAAGGGCTTCTCCAGTCAGTGGAGCACCGAGGACAGCCCCCAAATGGTGCCGTGGAAGCGAGGCCGCCTCGAAAGGGCAGAGCCTCTGCGCGCATGCCGAGGCTGCTGTAGGGTTTTGCCGTCATCCAGAGGGTACCGACATTGCAGCTCTTGCAATGATGACGGGAGCCATGCATATGTCTCTCTGTGCAGACGGGAGCAACATGCATGGTCAAGCTGTCACCAACCGTTTGCGTGCAAGCCGAGTACAGCTTAAGCCAAGTGGGGCGAGTTGACCCCTTCTGCCTCATTTCGGAAAGCGGCATTGCGCTCTTCGAAGCTCGCGGGACAAGGGTTTTCAGCAAGGACTTAAGAGGGGCCGCGAGCAAAGCAAACGTGAGCGACAGTCACCTCCAGCACATGTGGATTCGGCAGCACCTGCTCAGTTTGGAGCAAAGATCTGTCGCCAAGCTGACCCTTCTTGTTTCCCCCAAGGCTCCTGCTTCTAAGCAGCCAGCAAATGAAACGGCACACATTTCTGCCAGCCTTTGTGTCCGGAGCATGCCGGGAGGAGAACTCGCCAGGAATTGTCAGGAAAAAACAAACGAGAGCATTCCTCGGCTTCCGCTGGCAGCTGAACCCGGATCACCCAAGGGGCCCCGAAGGGAGACTCGCTAGCCTTGGTGAACAGCAGGTGCCCTTTCTGAGACACAAGCAGCAGTCCAAGGGGTGCCACTAAGTGCCCCACGGATAGCCCACAACCTTCCTCTCCGGTCCTTATGGCACCGAAGCTACACTGAAATACGCACACCTGACACGCGGCATTACTGACCGGTATTGTGGTCAGTTGTGTGTATGTGTGGAGTCACAAGAGGATATTAAACCAGACCAGAGTCACTTCTGGGACACGCACACGCGCACCCCCAGTATAATGCAGGAAGCGGTCCTTCCCATTAGCTGATCGACCACAGAGCTGAAGAAACAGAAAGGACAGGACTGGGTGGAGAGCTGGGGCCGCGGGAGAGGACGCCTCGGTGCAACAGCTGCCCCAAGTGGAAGGAGACTGACCATAGGGACTGACGTGACCGGACACCAGGCAGGGAAAGGGGACCAGGGGATGCTGGACCCCCTTCCCTGCCTCCCCCTGACCCCTCCAAGGTGACCACGGCTCCACGGCTGTGAAAGAGACCCATGCCTCTATGTTTTGCACTGGGTTGAGAGATGCAGAGTTTAAAAAAGGCCATCGACTGCCCAGTGTCAGAGAAGGAAGTCGTTTCACAAAAAGCCTTCACGTCTGCCAGTTCCTTGGCTCTCCAATGACAGAGGAAACCTTGAGAATCCCACTATGGCCACGTATTTACTTCCAGGAAGTATGCATCTTCCTGGGAAAGGAACCTTAGGTGAAATAACATATAGCCAGATCGGACAATAAGAACGCTTCAGTCCTAAGGACCCCCATGACCGTCTTGTGTATAACAGAGAGAGACCAACGTAAGAGAGAAATAAATAGCGTGTTTATAACCATCAGGCTCCAGGAGGGAATTGAATGAGCTTCTCCTTAAATCGCGGGGGTTTAGCTGCTGAGGGCTGAACGTTATCTGTTTGTGCGGCACCTTTTCTTGTACGACTGGGGGGTGGGAGTGGGGGGAACCAACACAAGCAGCACAGAGCACTTTCCACCTAGAAAAGCTACGCATCTCGTCTTCATGTGGCTCTTCTGGATTAATGCCAGCTTTCAACAGGGGAGACGGAGGCAGGCGAGGATCTTGCGACGGGCAGGCTTTAACCGGAGAAAGGAGAGCGACATTAAAAACGTGGAGCTCGACGGCGTGGCTGGGATCGGCGAGTCGGAGATGGCGCCGGCGTCCAGCAAAGCCAACGAAGGGGGACGCCCACGTCAAGACAGAAGCCGGGCGGCTCCAAGCCACGTAGTCTGTCTGGGTCCTCGGTGGTCTCTTTCGTGCCACAAAATCTTAGTCCTCCTCCTCCTCCTCCCAGTTCTCCCTTGTGTTTAAAACTCTAAAGAGGCAGTTCTGATGTCCATGCATCAAATACAGGTCCCGGGCTGGGCTGGAGGCTGCTGCTTGCGATTTCGTACCACTCCCGATTTCTCTTTGTAGGCAATCGGGATTTGTTGTGAAATGTCCACCAACGTGCTTGCGACGGCCAGACCTGGCGGAAGAGGAACACAGGGTTACAGAAGAAGACGACCCCTCAAAACAGACGAGGTGGAGGCATTTTCTGCCACTCCCCACTCAGCATCACATAGTCCTAGAATCATGGGGTCGGGAGGGGGCCTACAAGGCCATCGGACCCAACCCCCCCTGCTCGAGGCAGGGATCCAAATCCAAGCAGATCGGACAGGCAGTTCTGCAACTTTCTCTTGAGTGAGAGGCAAGGCATGGCAGCCTCAACAACAGCATGCTTTCTGTTGGTTGAACAGGTAAGTGATACATGCACTCCTGGACCGGTTTTGTCCCAGGCCCGCAAGTAGCTATATTTGGTCAGCACAATGTGCTACTAAGGTATGTATGTATGTATGTATGTATGTATGTATGTATGTATGTATGTATGTATGTATGTATGTATGTATGTATGTATGTATGTATGCATGCATGCATGCATTCATTTATTTATTT